GGCCGTAGTAGCGCGGGGGGCAGTAGGGCAGGCAGGAGCGCTGGTGGGCGTACAGGGAGCTGCCACACTCTGAGGAGAGAGGGTGGGATGAGCCCCCCGGGGCCCAGAGCACTGTCACTGTGCCCCCCTAAAGCCTCACTCACCCTCGCAGGCTCCCTCCTTGTCCCACCGGACGCAGCCGTCCGTGGCGGAGGCTGCGGAGCGCCTGGAGCTCATGTCCTCATCCGTGCCGTGCAGGTGCAGGATGAAGCTGGTCAGCTGGCCTGGGGACAGGAGGGACAGGGCTCAGGACCTGCCAGGTGATGGATATGGGGCTGGAAGCTTTGGGGTTGTGCCCCCTTCCTGGCCCTGTGCTGGCCAGGGAGGCCCTCGGAGCAAACAAGGGGCCCCGTAGATAAGGAGGGCTCGTGGCTGGGAGGGAGAAGCCAACAAGTTGCTCATCCAAGGGGGGGAAGGAAGAAGAATGATCAGGCACTGGGTGATCCCAGTAAATGGGTGCCCCCCCCCAGGGCACCCACCTGTGTTATGGGCATCGCCCTTGTTCTCCAGGTGGAGGGTCCAGGTCCCCTTGGGGTTCTCGTCCCAGAAGTGTGTGGACATGAAGGTCCAGTCCTTGTAGCCCTCCTGGCTGGTGTCGTAGGGGCTGGAGGAGGAGAGGAGAGCTGGGAGTGCCAGCCGGGGGGGCTGGAGGAGCAGGATGTGGCCAAGGACAGCCTGGAGTCCCCCTGTTCTTGCCCTAAGGGGGCACTGCCATGTGGCAGAGGCCCAGAGGAGTTTTGGGCCCGGTGAGCCCCTTGCTGGGGGTCTCCTGGCCCCGGGAGGGCTGTGGAGGGGCCCCCCAGCCCCTGGTGGGTCCCGGTGCTCCGTGTCCTTACCGCATGGTCACCAGCATGGACGTGGTGCCCGTGGGGCTGCTCAGGGCCACCACCAGGTCCCCCCTGCGGCTGTAGCTCAGGGACAGCTGGACCTGGACGTGCTCCAGCGAGCGGATGCTCTGGGAGCAGGAGAAGACATCTGTGGAGATGGTGAGCTTGGAGCCGATGTCCCTGTCAAGGGCAGGCTGGAGGTGAGGGCACGCCTTCCCCTTCCATGGGCATCCTGCCCTCCTCCACAGCCTCCAGGCACAGCCCCGTGCCCGCAGCAGGCACCGTGCAGCACAGGCCGCTTTTTGGGAGGCAATCCCTGTTCCTGGAGCAGGCACAGCAAGTCCCAGTGTGAGGCTGGGCCCGTGGGTGCTGTCCCTTACCTGGGGGCCTGAAGGACCTTGACTGAACACTTCTCCTGAGGCCGAGTCCCTGCCCAGGCCATGGCCTCCTGCACCAGCAGCCCCGCGTCCAGCAGCCCGTAGCCGTAGTAGTGGCTCACTGGAAGGCCAGGCTGTCACCAGGAGAGGACCCCACTGAAGGCCCCTCAGCGCTGGGCAGAGCACCGGGAAGCTTGCTGGAAGGTGTCCCCAGGGCCAAGTAGGGGAGCAGGAAGGCTGAGCCCTGCACTCACCCCTGCGTCCCACCCCGTTCTTGGCCCAGTCCTCGGCCTTGAGGTGAGCGGGTTTGGAGGCCCTGATGATGAGGTGCTGCAGGTCACGCCAGCTCAGGGCTGGGCTGGAAGCAAGGAGGATGTGGGGATAGAGGTGTCTGGGTTGGCTTTTAAGGGTGGGATTCAGCCCTTCTAAATCATGAGGTGGGTAAGTCAGCTGTCTGGGTCCAACCAGGTCCCCCCACAACCTCCTTCAGTGCCCAAGTGGGAGCAAAAAGACCTCCAGAGCACAATTCTCCTCCTGTCCCCTGCCCTCCCATGGTTTTGGGAGAAGATGCT